TCCACCAACGATCAGCTTTCAAGTTATTCTTGCAAGAAATCTATCTTGTCCAATGGCTATGCTTTAAATTTATTGATTTTCTTGTTTTTAAAATACCCAGTTGAAAATTTTTTGCTTTTGCCAAAACAAAAACAAACACGCAAGGTATTTCTCTACAGATTTCATCATCTTCTCTACTGTTGAAGACCAATTTTCAGTTCTTTTTTTCTTTTTTTACAGAGGTTCAAGCTATTAGGTTTGGAAAGGCTTTAAGTTTCTGTTTTTTTAATAAAATTCCTGAAGCAAAATTTGTTGGGTTTGCTTTGTGGTTGTCGGCGATAGAAGAGATGGAGCTATGAAAAATCTGTTGAGTTATAAGTCTATTATATTTGTGAAAGTTTTAGGTTGTTTTTTTAGAAATTGCCACAAAGAAGACAAAGGAGATGAGTTACGGAAATTATCTTCGGAACTAAAAGGTCAGAAAGACATTTTCCCGAAACAGTACTATTTGCCTTCAACCCAAAATTTATTTTCTGTTGAGTGAAATATCCATACACCAAAAAAACACCTTTAAAAATGATTTTTAGTCAAAACAAACGGAGCCTGAGTGACCCCAAGAAATTTGTTAAACAAAATAAGTGGGATGAGCAGACAGCTTTGAAAGTTTAGGCTCGTTTAAAAAAAAAGAAAAAAAAGGAAGACGAAGTGGTTAAAGTTTTGCTATAGGCATGAGGAAGCCGATTTCAATCTGTAAAGTAAGGATGACGCAGCAGCGTATCTAAGCGAGTGCTATAGAACGCCTGAAAGAGTGACTGCCTTAGCGTTTTCTTGATGTAGGTGGCTAGATGCACTTGTCATCTCAATGAGTTGCTGCTGGGTTCAAGGGCGATCAAAAGAAAAGTGACTGCCCCTAGCATTACCCCTAGTTTTAACATTTTGTAGTATCTATTTCAAACCCTCTGTGGTCCTCCAGACTTTTTAACGCCTCTAGTACTAGCTGATGCTGAGAAGGTGGTGATGTACAGCACTTTGATTTAAGTTTTATCATGATCCTTTTCAACCAAAAAAAAAAAAAAAAAGAGATAGCTCTAAATAGCTTCTGGACTGCGAAAAATAAAGTAGTGGCCATTTCATGAACCAAAATCAAAGAATAAGAAGGGGGATGCAATAGATATAACGTGGTGTAATATCTTAATGCAAGCAATCCAATAGGGATTTCTTACATCACAAGAAATATGATGTTTGGCAACAAAAATTTTGGTCATGTTGCAAATTGTTGTATTACAAAAAGTATTTGGAATAAATTTTATATTGTACACAAATTTGTAGCAAAAACTAGTCAACTGGACCTATAGCAGTATAAAACTTTTTATGTTACAAAAAATATTATGAAAATCATCGCAAGGTACTGCAGTCTATTTACAAATTATTATTAAAAAATTATTATTAAGGATGAAATTTACGGTAGTTTTAAAGTTGTTAGCTAGGCTTTTCAGAAAAAAAATGGAAAGAAAATGATGTTGGTTGGGTTGATTAATTTAATAATTTATAGCTATGGGTTTTAGGCTGCTTTGGCTAGACAAAAGCATAGGGTGGTGGCAGAAACGTGCCTGCGGAAGAAATGAAACATGATTGTGATTCAAATTTCAAATCCTTAGCGTAGATCGACGGCCTTCCCTAAGATAACGCCCACTCACAGTGGACTTTTACAAACGAAATTTTGTTTTAGATAATTTAATTGAACTCCCATAGATAGAAGTACTTGGGAGTGTTTTTATTTTTATTTTTAACGTTTGACAAGAAAAGGAAATTCTTTATTAAAAAAAAGAAAAAGAAATTATTGGGGGTCAAAATATCCCTAATAATTTAGATTTTATTTATTTCATAAAAAATAATTTTTGAAAAATAATTTTTAAAAAATATTTAAAATTTTCAAATTAAATTTTTTTTGTTATTTGAATAAATTAATGAAAAATATTTTTTGTTATTTAATTATTTTATGAAAAATCTATTTTTTTCAAATAATATTAATACAACTATTAAAATATTAAAAATTATTTATTATTAAATATATTAAAATTATTTATTATTAAAATTATTAATATTAAAAAAGTAATTATATTTTAATAATAATATTTAATATTAAAATATTATGTTAATGTAAAAAATACTAAAAATAAAACTATTTATTATTCTTTATATTATTTATTAATATATTATACTATTATTTATTAATAATATTTATTAATATATTATATTAATAGTATATTATTTATTAGTAATATATTATTTATTCATATATTATTATAATATTTATTAATTAAATTAATAATATTTATTATATTATTTACTAATATAATATTATTTATTCATATAATATTATTTCTTTATTAATATAATATTATTTACAAGTAAAATTATATTCAAAAGTATTGATAAATAATTTTAATCATAGATAATTTTTTAAAAAATATATATATATATATTTAAATTCGTAAGATAATTTTTAAAAAATAATCTTATTTTCATTGATCAATAAATTATTTATTATTCAATCAATTTTTTACTAATTAAGCATCTAAAAATATGGAAATCATTTTCAAGATACACAAGGAGAATTAATGTTGGGTCAATCGCTTCATCTAAAGTTTGGTGAAACAAAAACGAGGTTAAATCTTTTGTTAGTCCAACTAAAGTTGTCATCAGCAATTGCATCCTAACATTTTCCCGTAACACCTCATATATAAGTAATTAATTAATGTATGTAATTAGCTTAGCTGTCTGCACAATAAAATTAATTAACAAATGCGAAAACAGTTTAACATGTCACTAATAATGTGTTGGAGTTTATGATGACTAATTTATAACATAACAGATAGACCGATGATAATAATTATATAAATTCACTTATGAAATTTAAAAATTTTATAATTAAAATGTATAGGATAATCTTAGAACACCTTTTTCACATAAAGCTTTGAATTTAGCTTGGAAACTAAAAATTAAATTTGAAGAGAACATGCTCTATTTCTTGTCCTATATTTGACAAAAGGATTAGGGCAGGTGAAGAGGTTTAGTGTACAAATTTTTTTAGAAAAGAAAAACTAATTTTACATCTCCGTTGCTAGAGCCTAGAATTTATGATTTTATTTGGTTGTAACAAAAAAAAAAAAAAAGGCTTTTATTTGGAGATTTTATTAACTAAAAAAAAAAATCTCTTATCGGCAAAAAACCAACATTATCGTAAATAAAAATAAAAAACTGTCCATCCAAACCTAAAATGTGTCTAATAATTGATTTTTTTTACTAGTACTAGAATTCGTCCCCCATTATTTTAGGTAGACTAATTATGTTACTATTAAAATCATAAAAAATGAAAATATTATAAAATATTAAAATTTAAAAAAGTGTATAATCTTTCATATATTACAATTATAATTTTTTCTCATCTTTTCATGTTATATTATAAGTGTTGTTTTTTTTATTAATTATTTGATCAAAAAATATGATTTTTTAATTTTTGTAGATTATAATTTTTTTATTAAAATGTTTAAAAACAAAAGAAAGAAAAAAGAAAAGTAACTTAATTCTTATTTATTTTTATTGTTCTTTTTATATTTATATTTATCATTATTATTATATTTTTATTATTTTATTTTAATGTAGATAATAAATGATAAAATCTCATAACTTATATAAAAAAAAGCACACCCAATTATAATACTTCTAAAATCTTTTGAAAACTTTGAGTAAGATTTTTTAAAAATATTTCTTACTTAAAAATTTCAAAAATCGCTTCTAATTTTCTTTTAATTTCAACATTAAAAGAATTTTGTTAATTTTTTAATTTACATGACATAAATAAATATAATTATAAAAAAAATTATAAATTTATTTGTTTAACACATTTTTAGTTTTTTATATTATCAAATGATTAAAACATATTCCTAATATAAAAAATTAAATATGTATGTAAATAAAAATAAACAAATAAATAAATAAGCAAATCAACAAATAAAAAATAAAACTAAAAATTAAAAAATACCAAAATAAAATAAATAATTGATATGCGTCCAAAACAATTAAATATCAAAATGTTTTTTTTAAAATCAACCCCAACTAATTTATTTCACACCTTAATTAATTTTTTAATATTTTTTTATATCTCATTTTAAGTGTTTTTAGAATTAAAATTTTTTATAAACTTCAATCTACTGTCTTTCATTCCCATAAAAGAAATCTCCTCAAGGAAAAAAGTGATGGGGACGGGACAACATTGTGCCCGTCTAAGAATTTCTTCGAAAGTAGATTATTGTACCTAAGTTGCAGCGGCTCTAGATCTCCGTTGTGGTTTATTATTGGCCAAGAAAATAAAAAAATCAACGTTAGTTGACCAAATTGCATCCATAGACTCCTTTATGACTTCGGGCTTTTTATTAGTAATTTAACATTAAAACCTGCAAATAACAAGTCTTAAAGGTCAATCTCTCGCTCTTTCTTTTTTTTTTTTTTATTATTATTAGTAGGTTGCAGTAATTTTAGTGTCGCTAGAACACTTCTTTAATTTAGATATATTTTAACTATGATTAGTTGTTCGGGTAACTAAAAATTAAGCTTTTTTTTTCTTAATGTTGTTACCGACTAATTGATAAAAAAATAATTTAAAATCAATTATGACAGTAATAATTTTATACATCACATTCACGTCCAAAATTCAATCTTTAAGAATTGTATTTTGAGATTAAATTTTAAAATAATGAAATTAATGTAAGAGAATCATTCAAAAAAAAATTAAAGTCAAGCAAGTTTAAGATATTTTTTACTAAAAATAGTAATTGTTTTTATTTCACACTTGCAAAATTATAAGTAGACAAATTCATTATGTTATTAACCAGAAACATCAACTTAAAATACTTATAATTAGAAAGAAAAAGATGTGCTATTATTATATAATATCATTTGAAATATAATCAGTATATAAATATATATTATGAATTTGTGGTTTCAGGTTGAATATTTTTATTTTTTTAACTAGAATTTGAAAAACGGTGGTTGACGTAACATTTTCAAAGCATATAACCTTTCTTGACTTTTCCCTTTCGTTCATTGCCGCGTCAAAATTAAAGGCAAGTGTCCACAAGCTGCCAAACTACATCATTCCACGTGCCACACAAAGGAAGCCTCTACGAACGACGTTTTTCAGACAAACACAGTGATCCTATTCGCTCAAGCCCCCAAAATTGACCTTTACCCTTTCCATCATCAACAAAATATTGTAACTTCATACTTTTAATCCTTCTCTAATTACCACAACAAACAGTAATCCTCAGCATTTAGATCACTCCCAGAAAAAGCGATCGTTCCAATTCATAATTTTCCCATACTCTGTATCTGAAGCCGTTCGGAGCCATTATAGTATTATCTTCTTCATCAGATTTCAAAGCAAAAATCTGGTAATCATCGATCAGTACATAAGTTCAAACAAGAAAAGAACACAGAAAAAAAACGTAACAATTCAAAGCAGCCGGCTTCAACTTCCAGGACAAGAAAAAAGTTTTAAGACTTTTTGATTTGTCTGTTTGTCTGCTATATCTCCCATTAAACTTCCTCTTTTTTCCATTCTTTTGGCCATACAAAGAACGAAAACAAGATGAAGTATCAAGTTTTTGTGCTTACGATTATGGTTTCACTCTCGTTTGCTTCAGTTTCAGCTAGATTTTTTCCAAATATAACAGCTATTCCGCCTTGGCTACTCCCAAACGCTACCTCATTCGCCCCATGGGATGCCTTCACGAAATTCTCCGGTTGCCAATCAGGCGAAAGACGAGACGGTTTGTCCAAGCTCAAACAGTACTTTAGCAACTTCGGTTACATCCCCAACTCTCGGTCTAATTTTAGCGACGATTTTGATGACGAGCTAGAAAAAGCCTTGAAAACGTACCAACAGAATTTCAACCTTAACGTTACCGGTCAACTGGATGATCAGACTCTTCAACAGATCGTACGGCCCAGATGCGGTAACGCCGATATAGTTAATGGGACGACTGCCATGAACTCCGGTAAATCGTCGTCGTTACACACCACCGGGCACTTCCATACGACGGGTCATTACACTTTCTTCCCGGGAATGCCACGTTGGCCTGCCAACAGGCGGGACTTAACATACGGTTTCTTACCCGGAAACGGATTAAGAGACGAGGAAAAGGCCGTGTTTACAAGGGCCTTCGAAAAATGGTCGGCTGTTACGCCGTTGACCTTCACGCAAACGGATTCATTCTTCATCGCCGACATCAAAATCGCTTTTTACAGCGGAGACCACGGAGACGGAGAGCCATTTGACGGGGTTTTAGGAACGTTGGCTCACGCGTTTTCTCCGACAAACGGGATGTTCCATTTGGACAAGGACGAGAACTGGGTCATTTCGGGCGACGTCGCGAGGTCAACGCTGCCGTCGGCTGTGGATTTGGAATCCGTGGCTGTTCATGAGATCGGGCATTTGTTAGGGCTGGGGCATTCGTCGGTGGAAGATGCGATTATGTACCCGACGATTTCTTCGAGAACAAGGAAAGTGGAGCTGGCAAATGATGATATAGAAGGGATTCAATCGTTGTACGGTAGTAATCCTAACTATAATGGTTCCACGACGCCAACTCCGACTACCCAGGAGAGAGAAACTAGCGCTGGTGAAGCCCGTTACTTTGGTTCACGGTGGTGCCTGGGTGTATTCTTGGCCGTTGGATTTGGGTCCTTATTTTTGTAAATTACTCAAGCACCGTTTAATTTATCTTCTTTGTTTATTATTTTTTTTCTAGCGTTTTCTTTTTTGGGTGATATTTATAGATTGCCACCTTTTACGAGGCTAGCAGCCTTATTGTTGGGGGCGTACGTATTTATTTGTTGGTATAGTTATTTGGTTATACAAATACTTGATGGTAGTATAAACATTGTGAAGATATTTTTTTATTGAAATTTAATTTTGAAAAATAACTTGGATTCTATCCAATTAATCATCTCTTGCATATATTATTTATGCTTGACCATTATTGATATTAAAGGTTGAATTTTATTTTGTAAATTTATCAATCTAAAATGATCATATATATAATTCAAATTTTTTATGCTCTAATAGATGAAAAGCATTCAATTTAAAGGCTCGCATACTAGATATTTCAAATTATACTTGTTGAATGATAAGAATGAAAATTTTTATCACGGCTAAAGATATGAAAACTTTGGATATTATAATCATAGAGTCTAATGTTACAATAAATGTTGAAAAATATGATAAGAAAACTTGAAACTTAGTGAAACAAATTGCAAGATCATAAATATGTTATATTGTGTAATGAATGTCGATGATTTCAACTTATTTCAAGATCAAGAGCCGTTAGAGGAAAAGAACTGGTTAAAAAGAAAGCTTTTTACTAGTTATCATTTTACATAATGGCCATGCTAGACACATTCAAAGTGATATGGAAATTAGCAAGGGAACTCCAAATCAATGTCCTTAACACAAATCTTTTCTTGTTTAAGTTCGAAAAACAAGATAAGAGTTCTTGATAGGCCCTCATGGTATTTCAATAAACAAATGTTGCTGTTTTGAGAATACAATAGAAACCTAAGGCCATCTGACTATGTCTTCAATTCAACAACTATCCAGATTAAAGTATATGATTTGCTAATGAAATGGATGAATAAGGAGGTAGTGGAGTGCATAGGTCAGAAGTGTTAAAAGGACATTGATATGACCAAATATATAATGGCTGGGAAAGTTTTCTTAAAATCAAAATGGAGACAAAGATATCAAGAAACCATTAGGGAGGTGTGTGACACTATCTCAAAAGGGAAGAGGGTTAGTAATACAAAGTCACCTTAAATACAAAAGGCTTTTAAAGTTTTGCTACACATGTGGTTTTCTTGACCTTACAGAAGTGAAGTGTAGTGGGACAGATGAATCAAAATTAGGGATGAAGATAAAAAAGTAGTATGAAGAATGGTTACGTGCATCCCCAGTTAAAAAAAAGGTGAAAGCTTTTGGAAATAAAAAAAAACATTCCATATAAAAGGTCCAAGACAAGACTCTTTATAGAGGGATAATGACACTTTAAAGGTAGATGGAGTGGACAAATGGTGAAGGCAGACCTTATAATGCAAAGGGTAACTAGGGTTTTTTCTCAGAACTGAAATGAAGGCCAACTATCACAGTGTTTTTAAGCAAAAATATTAGGAATAATGACTCAAATCAATAACAAATTTATTAGGATTGGTTAGATATTTCTTGATGTATAAAAAAACTTACAGAAAAAAAATTTTAAGAGAAAAAGAGGTTCTTAAAAAACAAATTTGACTTGTAAAAAAAGAATTCTAAGAGGAAAGGGAAAGAGATTCCTAATAGGTAAGTTTGTATGCTTATAAATAGGTGAAATCTCTATAGGGTTAGGTATAAAAAAAGATATAAGAGAGTTATATGGTTTTATAGGATAGATACCTCATAAAACTACTTAAGATTTTATGTCTTATGGGTGTGTATGTTTGTATGGTGCATAACAACAGACTAAAAGAGACTGAGAGTATCTACATAGGTATGATGAATGGGTACATATTTATGTTGAAAGGGTGCAAATGGGATATGTTTGTTTGGGTTAAGTTACTTCATAAGACTAGAGGAGATTAAGAGGGTCTATGGGTATTAGTTATGAGTGTTTGATTTGATTTGATATTTGTTTGTAATTTTTTATATCTAATGGATCTTGTTTTTCATATGTGGATGTAAGTCGATTAAACTGAACCATGTTAAATTATTGTCTCTTGTGTGTTTGATTCATTATTTGATTATGCTTTCGTTGACATAAATTAGATTGGTGCTTTTGGCCCAACAAGTGGTCTTGTTAAGGATTACTACAACTCTAATACCATTTGTTAGGCCAAATAGCCTCAATCCTATCATACTTGCAAAAGCGAAATTAAATAATCAATTATATAAGAAATAATAATTTAATATGATTCAACCCAACCGACTTACATCCACAGATGAGAAAAAAGATTTACTAGTTATAGAGAATTATAGACTTACATCAAATCATATCAACCACTCAACAATCAATACCCATAGAGGTTTTCAATCTCTTTTAGTCCTATAAAGTATTTTCAACCTAAACAAACACATACATATATGCATTCATGCACCATACCTATATGGACCCTTTCAGTTTTTTTAGTCCACTCTCATGCGCCATACAAATATATACACCAATAAGATGTAAATCTTCAGTAGTCTTATAGAATGTCTATCCCATAAAATCCTATAACTTTCTTATATCTTTTTCTTATCCAAGAACATAGGTCGGTTAGACTAAATCACGTTAAATTATTATCTCTTGTGTGTTTGATTCATTGTTTAATTATACTTTCGCTGATGTGAATTAAATTGGGGCTTTGGCTTAATAAATGGTATTAGAGCATGGTTCGAGGCATGAAAAAAGAGGCAAGCCCAGAAGAGCTCAATTCAAGAGAAAAGTTCGAGTTCATGCCTTGATAGATCGATTTGTGTGAAATGTAAAAACAGACAAGAGAAAATGATTATGAGACTTTCATTACAAGTGAAGCCAAGCATGTCTAGCATGAAAATAAATGCTTGATGAAATTTAAGTTAAGATGGAGATTATTAGGAATAATGACTCAAATCTTATAACAAATTTGTTTGAGATTGGTTAGATATTGCTTGATAGATAAGAAGACTTACAGAAGAAGAATTCTAAAAGAAAAGAGATTTTTAAAAGGCAAGTTAACTTGCAAAAGAAGAATTTTAAAAGGAAAATAATTCATAATAGGTAAGTTGTATGCTTATAAATAAATGAAGTTTCTATAAGGTTAAGTATAAAAAAATATAAGAGTTATAGAGTTTTATAGGGTAGACATCCTATAAGACTAATAAAGATTTACATCTTATAGGTGTATATATTTGTATAGTGCATAAAAGCGGACTAGAAGAGATTGAAAGAGTCACATAGGTATGATGAATGGGTACATATGGGTATATGTTTGTTTATGTTGAAAAAGTGCACATGAGATGTGTTTGTTTGGGTTAAGAATACTCTATAAAACTAAAAGAGATTGAGAGGGTCTATGAGTATTAGTTATAAGTGTTTGATTTGATTTGGTATTTGTTTGTAATTTTTTTACAACTAATGGATCTTGTTTCTTATCCATGGACATAGGTTGATTGGACTGAACCACGTTAAATTATTGTCTCTCGTGTATTTGATTCATTGTTTGATTATGTGTCTACTGACGTGAATTAGATGGGGGTTTTTGGCCTAACAAAAAAATGTTGAGCTAGACACTAGTTGTGAAAAAGAAAGGAAAAAAAGAACAATCAATATGAACGATTCATAAAAGATTTGGGGGACCAAGTTAACAGATTTATCAGCAGATGAGAAGGGAGGAATTTAAAAACAACACATCTTGGCAATCCTGATCCAATAATAAACATATGCTAAAAGAATCAAGCCACGATGGTAAATGATGTAAGAAATAATGGAATGTTGGAAGGTGGCACAGAAACTACAATTAATGGCCATAGTGCAGACCTAGCTGGGAAGTGTGAGGTAAGTACTAAACCAACAAACCATGCAAGCATAGCCATGCATGCAAATGCAAAACAAAAAGAGAAGGTAGGGACAGAGGGAAACGGCTGTTGGAAGAAAAATACGAGTACTGGAAATGAGTTCAACAAGTGATACAATGATCCTAGGGAAAAAAAGTTATCTAATAATGGGACTAATTTAGAGGAGGACACTACTAGAATTAATGCTATCATTGACAGATTACCAATGAAATACTAATGGAATGTAAGAAAAAAATTAACATTTACCGATGAATTTTACTGACGGATTTAATTTTGTCGATAATTTGTTGGTGAAACTTTGGTGCCAATTACTGCAAATTTTATCGATGAAAATATCGATGAAATTTTTTTACAAATGAAAAATTCTGTTAGTAAATTTTTTTTTTTAAAATTTACACTTTACTGATAGAATTTTCATCGATATTTTTGTCAATAAAAAAAACGTTTGAATCCCTTTTTCTCATAATCGGGTAAACAAAAAAAAAAACCACTTAATCCCTTCCCCAAATCCCTAACCCCTCTTTCCTTCCCACTCTCCCCATTCCTCTCTTCCCACCATGTTCTGTAATCGGTTGGCCAGTACCGAATCCCCTTCGTTAATAAGTGATGTTTCTTATTTAAATACATTCTTTTTCATGTTTTTTGTGTAGTTTTTTTTTTTTTTTGGTTTTTGGTTATATATTTGGTTATAAATATTTTTGAGAAATTTTTTTAGTTTTTGGTTATATATTTGTTAAGTTTCTGTTATGTTAAACTTTTAGTTTATTTTTTATGGATATTTTTGTTTAGTATTGTTGAGGATTTTTTTTATTTGTTGAGTAACGCTTTTTTTTATTTGTTAAAGTATTGTTGAGATTTGTTGAGTTTTTTTTATAGATTTGTTAACTTTTGGATGTGTAAGATTTATGTTGGTTTTAGTGGATTTGATGTGTATTAACATTTATATATGTTTTGATGAAAGTTTTGGTTATATATTTGTTGAGTTTTTGTTGGGTTAAACTTGCAGTTTATTTTTGTTGGATTTTTTGTTAAGTATTTTTTAGTATTGTTATTTTTTGTTGATTTTTTTTAGTATTGTTGAATAATTTTTTTTATTTGTTTAGTATTTTTTTAGATTTTTTAGGTTTTATTTTTTTTATGGATTTATTAACTTTTAAATGTGTAAGATTTATGTTGATTTATTAGTTAATTTGGATTTGATGTATATTAGGATTTATATATGTTTTGATGGATCAA